ATAAATTTTAGTTAAAGTTAGTAAAATGAGTAAATTGGAAGACATATATGTACAATTAACATAAATGTATGTTCAATTAACACAAATGTATGTACAATTAATACAAATGTATGTACAATTAACACAAATGTATGTACAATTAACACAAATGTATGTACAATTAACACAAATGTATGTACAATTAACACAAATGTATGTACAATTAATACAAATGTATGTACAATTAACACAAATGTATGTACAATTAATACAAATGTATGTACAATTAATACAAAAATACAGCGTAAATGTAATTGGGTTAGATTACTAATGTGAAAAGAAAAATTAAGCCTGGACCATAACAAATATGTGAGCTAAACCGATAGCCAAAATATTAAGAATAATTTTTAGAAAATTATAATGCAGTAATCCTTCGTCGTAATACTGAAAATATGGCAAACTTCAAAGGGAGGAATTTCAAAATGGATGGATGATTTATTTCTGTTAGGTATTTAAGGAGTAAAATCGGTTTCTTACACAATATGGTCCCTTCGATATAGTCCCTAGTATCCCATAAGACATGACTTATAAAGAAACCCTTATTAAAGGAGTTTTTTTTTTAACAATTTAATAAATATGCTTTTGCCTGTTTCAGGCATTGACTGGTTTGACTACGGTTCAAAAGCGTTTTATTTTATTTTTTGGTATTATTTAAACCATTTACTTCGTTCGGGGGTATTGTCTCCATGCTTATTGGGACATTCACGACATACCAGCTTTCTTTAGGGGCTATTTGTTGTAATTTCGGACCAAACCCTTTATTTAATCCACGGGGGTTCTAATTCCATTTACCCCGCCTTTGGGTATGCCAGTTTTGCTTAATTCTCCGTTATCGGTCTGGAGGAGGACGGTCCTAGTGTGTGGCACCAATGGAAAATGCCTGAAAACCAGACCCGAGCCTTGTGAGTGAAATTGGGTAGACAGAACACTGGGGGTGGGCCGTCGATAGCTGTACTGGCACGAAGTCACAAGTCATCGGGGCCGTCTGGCGGTCATGCTAAATAACACATTCTCTCTTTTGAACAAACACAAATGTGCCTGAACGAGCATCTGCAATAGGGATTGGATATCCACGAATGCGAGTGGCCAGATAATATATATATATATGTGTGTGTGTGTCTGTGTGTTTGTGTGTGTATGTATGTGTGTTTGTGTGTGTGTGTGTGAAAGTGGTCATAATTTATAAATATAGCATACCTTAAAATATATATTTTTATTATATTTAGCAATTAATATACTATCGAGCACTTTCGATATGTTTATAACCTAGCATGGAAATAGAAAAGTTTAGTCTACTCCCTAAAAACATACCAACTCATCACTATCTAAAATTAATATTAAAAATAAAAAGCCCTATGAAAGGATGAAATAGAAATCTCATTTCTTTTTTAACGAAGAAATTAACACAAATGCCGCACTTAACGAAATATGTTGCTTTAAAGGAAAAGAAAAGCGTCCGCCGAAACACAAGGAACCAGACGACTTCGAGAAAGTCTTGAATAACCAAGGAAGAAACATAAAATTTCATAAACAATTAGATGCTTTCCAGAAAAGCAATAAAGGAGATATAACAAAAATAAACAAATAACCTAACGTATTTATCACAGTGGAAAAATCTTAAACGAACTAACACCCCCCCAAAACGCAAACTACACAAGGAAAACGTAACTAAAGTGCCAAAAACAATGCAATAAGATATTAATATTGCCATGAGTCCGTACCTATAACTACAGAATGAACTCTTTCTAACACTATGTATACTACGCCTTTCAAGAGAGAGAGAGAGACGTATCCTGTCGAGCCGATAGTAGTTCACTCCAAACCAGACTGACAGTCATACTAACACTTTCCACATCTTGTATTATTATTTCGTGTAATATAACATTGTTATTTCTACTCTTGTGTTCGTGTTGTTCTTCCTTGGTCCTAACCTGGACCATAACAAATATGTGAGCTAAAACGATAGCCAAAATATTAAACAGGGACGAACTAATAAATTGCATCGTTAATCACAGGCATTTATCATACTAAAAGAGAAACAAATAATTTCAGAACAAACCCAACTTGCAAACTCATAAACCCAACCTTAAGTGAACTAGGTAACATAAGTAAATAATACGAGAAAGAAATAATTCAAAACTAATGATGAAGTTATGAATAAATTAGTGGAAAAATACAAAAACAAAAAAAAAAACTAAAAAAAAAAACAGCAAATTAATACAATAGGTATAAAATATTTCTCTTGCTATTATATCTCTTGCAAATCTTCTGGATGGTCTCCTTGCTTAATTTGGTGAATGCTGCCATAATACTTGCCTTCAGTGCAGCATTAGTGTTACAACGATTTCTGTTGATCCTTCGCTCAGCTGCGCCGAAATAATCAAGGGGGTTGCATTCGGGGGAGTTAGATGTAAAGTGTGATGAGGTCGCAGAATTTGTCAGACAGCCATGATTGCTTTCTATTGCTTGTGTGGCATAGTGAAGACTCCTATTGCCAGACACAGGGTCTTACTTCTTGAAACAGGGCAGCAATACCTCCTCAAGCCACTTGATGTAGCCCCCCTCCTGTTGAGTTTGACGATCTCACCAATAAATTCTGTAGATATTTTCTGATTAGAACGGAGTGAGTTTTCCGAGCTGTTGTTCGTTAATAATCAGCATTAAACTCATCCGAATTCTTTGCGTTCACCTAAGATTGAGAAGCAAACAAACTGAAATTTTCGTAATGGAGCTTCCGGTGCGAATGCCAAGCAGTACAGCATGATGTTTCCAGATTACTAGCGTAGGGAATTGCGTTATGGTGTTCTTTTTTCTCACAGACAGTGTTCAACTGACTCTACTTCCGCGAAATCAAAAATATGAAACGGAGACAAATTATCCAACGCACAACATATACATATATGTGTGTGTGTGTGTGTGTGTGTTTGTTAACTCACTAATATTGAGCGTTTTCTAATAAGTACCGGGCATATGTAATAAATAGTAATAATAAAATATATATATATATATATATATATATATATATATATATATATATATATATATATATATATATATACAAATATACATATATATATATATATATAGAGAGAGAGAGAGAGAGATAGATAGATAGATAGGATAGATAGATATGCACAGACACATTTGATATATATATATAAAGCGAAAACATTAATATATATAGAGAGAGAGATTTTGCGTGTGTATTTGTAAGAAATATGAAATTATTAATATATGTATGTATATGTAAACACGATAAAACCTTGATATATATTTATATTATATTATATATATATATATATATATATATTTATATTATACTACACACACACACACACACATATATATATATATATATATATATATATATTCAAACACTTTTGGTTAAATAATTTAGACATATGTTGATTCTTTTTCATTGTGATCCAATCAAGTTCAAGGATTATGTTCTTGGTAGCCGTAGAAAATCTGTCAAAAAATACTAAAATTTTCTTTCAAATACTTGTAATTTTCTCAAGTACTTTCAATTGCAATGGAGTCCATCTTCAGGGGGTTAAGTTGTCTGTGAGTATGTATATATGGTTTTGCAAATTCAAAACATTTCAGCTGTTCGTTTTGTACTGCTTATACATACACACACACATATATATATATGTGTGTGTCTGTGTGTGTAAACATATATATATATATATATATATATATATATATATATATAAACATTTAAAGACTTTGAAAGTATCATAACGAAAACTAATCGGCATGATATGTCTAAATAATTGAACCAAACCTGTATGCTGCCTAAATATACACTATATATATATATATATATATATATATATATATATATATATATATATATATATATATATATATATATATATATATATTATTTTAATACCAGAGATCGGAAATTCTCAGTGCATGTAGTCACAAAAACGTTAGGTTATTTAAATAAAAGAATAGTGAGTTTCTTTTTCCTTGACATGTTCTAGTTTCTCTTTATGCTAATTCTATTATTTTTGTGTGGCTGTTTTTACGAATACAATGTCGTTTGGACCAACACTTTTCTGCCAGTAGTAACTTGAAAATCCGTCACGTGAAAACTTGGTAGGTAGAATCTGGCTTACTATTTTTATATATATATATATATATATATATATATATATATAAGCAGAAGTGTTTATAACTATATTTGGTTTTTCATCCGAGGTGCAACTGAAATGCACCGAAACGAAGTTGCATGTTTGTAGTGAGTAAACTGTTTTTTGCCTATATGATAAAATTATAATAAATAATCATCTCTCTATTATCGGTATCGTGCCCACATTTGGATTAATGATGTGAACGTTAAAATTTATATATTACTTTCGTTCCCATTGCATCGGATATATATATATATATATATATATATATATATATATATATATATATATATATATATATTCGTGGTAATCCCTCACTTTTCTAACTATTTCAGATGACTGAAACAACCTTTGTTATCCTTACATTTGTCAGTATTATCATTATTTACAATTGTATAAAAATGAAGCGGCTGCCTGATCTTGTACTTCTTAAACTCCTAAATTTCTTTAAGTGCTAAATTTCCTTCCTTCCAATATTAAAAAAAAAAGAACTTTAGTATTTAAAAGCTTAAAATTCTTCTATTATATAATTGCAGTTAGAATGAAATCAACGCATTAAACGTTTATAAAAATCGAGCACAAATCATTGAAATCTGAGAGGCGTCATTAAGAATATTGCTTTCGCTGGATATCGACCTCTGCTTAAAGTTAATCAATATGTTTCTTTTCGTTTTTATTTTTTACTCACCAGTCTCTCTTTTAGAATTACACTTTGCTTCTTATCAGTTCTGCACACTTAAGTGTTTCCATGTAATCATCTATGAATATTAGACATTCTCTTCACACTTATCTCTGTCTGTGTTGGAGTATATCAAGTACATAGATAGATAGATAGATAGATAGATAGATAGATAGATAGATAGATAGATAGATGGACATAATTATAGTAAAGTAAATGAGAATAGGTATACAAAAAAAACACACACACACATATACATACATACATACATATATATATATATATATATATATATATATATATATATATATATATATATATATATATATATAACACATTGATTAAAATAATTCTAATTAGAATAAAGGTTTATTTTCTATCTATACATGATAATTAATTAGCTTTATGCTGTGTCTGGATACACGTAAACACCTGCAGTCATAGAAATAAGTAAATGCCTTTACAAACACACACACACACATATATATATATGTGTGTGTGTGTGTGTGTGTGTGTATTTAGTGTAGTGTAAAAATTTAAAATTAGTGTCTAAATAAAACACACACTCACACTCCAACAAACACACACATATGTGTGTGTGTGTTTGAATGTGAGTGTGTGTATGTATTTAACTGCATATTTATCTGTTTACGGAATTAACGACATGGATCTCGGAGTAGTCTTATCGACGTTGGATATTATGTATATTCACTAATATATATATATATATATATATATATATATATATATATATATATATATATAAAGAAATATAGTCTTAAGGTGTGCTATATTTATGGGATAAAGTGCTCAATATCAGAGATAGAGCGTGTGTAAATATAAAAGTGAACATAGAACATAGTGGCCTGACGATTGCATATAGCATGAAACAGACTGTCGCCTCTAAGTATTGACTTCTATGTTCACTTTTATATATATATATATGAGTGTATGTGTGTCTCTGTGTGTGCGCGTGTGCGTGTGTGCGTGTGCATTTAAATATTTAAACAATTTTTTATTAAATTTATACAATTCTTTTATACAGATAAGACCGTTTCCCTGTTTTATTGAAAATAATTTAAAAAAATAGTCCATCTATTTTCGGTTTTCCTAACCCATTATGAATCAGCCTCGTTTTCATTATCTTGTATCTCTAGTTGAGTATTGTATTTGTTCGAGTTCGAATTCCAGTCGTGTTCTTTACTTATATGTACGCACATTTAAAAAGGTATTTTCTCCCAGAAATACGTGGTCAATAGTAGCATTTGTATTTTTTTAAAAGAAAACTGTTGTCACCAATAATATATTTTCAACCGCAAAAAGTTTAATTTTTATTACATTCAAAATTAGGGTCTGTCTTCAAATTATGCACAAATGAAATGCCGTTAAAACCAAGGTGTGTTTGTTATCGAGTGTCATGTCTTTATGCAGCAGTCGGTAATGTGCAATTTTTTTATTTTTTTTTATTTTTCAAAGTCTTACTTTTCCCGCATCCGTTTGTGCAATCGTGCTAAAAAAATTTTGGATAATTTAATCAAAGCGAACAAAAATGAAATGAATTTTTTTTTTAACTCACACACACACACACACACACACACATCGTTGCATCTCCCCATATTAACGTTCTCAGCTGACACCACGTTGAAAGATGATATTGAATCCATTGCTATAGCAGCTGCTAAGTTGGTTCACTGTGTCGTGCGAGACATTTATTCGCTGCAGAATCTATCCTAGATATTTTATTCATACAAAACCATCACCATATGGCCAAGTGTTCCTGCTATTTACCTCATGCTCCTTTATAGAATTCAAAGAAGAATCAGCCTAATTATTGGTACTCATCTGTTATCTCGGCTTCAATCACTTTCCCACCGGTTAATGTTGTCTAACTGTTTTTTTTTTCTATAAATACTTTCATGGTAATTGTTCGGATGAACTTTCGCTATGGTATCGAAACTTTTTTGAATTTAAGCGCAGTATTAGACTAGCGAGTTGATTTGAGTTGGCATTAGATCTAACTGTACATTCAGAGTATTTTTTATTTTTTTTTTTCATAAATACTTTCTTCTCGCTTGTGGCACTTTTTGAATTTCTTTCGGTTCCATCCTTCCCAGCACTTCTTTTGGTTTAACTAACTCTAACACACAGACACATAGACACACACACCTATATATATATATATATATTTTTTTTCTATAAATACTTTCATGGTAATTGTTCGGATGAACTTTCGCTATGGTATCGAAACTTTTTGAATTTAAGCGCAGTATTAGACTAGCGAGTTGATTTGAGTTGGCTAGATCTAACTGTACATTCAGAGTATTTTTTTCGCACTTCTCGCTTGTGGCATTTCTTTCGGTTCCATCCTTCCCAGCTAACTCTAACACACAGACACATAGACACACACACCTATATATATATATATATATATATATATATATATATATATATATATATATATATATATGTGTGTGTGTGTGTGTGTGTGTATTTAAGCAACAATCTTTCTTTCTTGAACATTTCATTGAAAACGACTGACAAGATGCTTTTATTTAGTTTTTTTATACAATTTATCATGTGATCTAATATATATTTTTTTTCTTTTCGGATGATAAATTATATAAAAACTGTCCGAATGTTCTTTATATCCAAGCGCTTTCGGCTATACATTTAGCCATTTTCAAGGATTAAATATTTTAACTGTTAAATAAGAAAGAGTTTGTTGTATGTATGTTTTATATAGTGTTTTCATTTTTCCAAACACGATCAAGATATTGTGTCCATGTCCAAAGTTAATATTATTAAGTGTCGTTTGATTGTTTTTTTTTGTTTTTATTAATAGAGCTTCCATTATTTTTAGCCTCTTTTGCCTGTAGATGACGCTATTATATTAGTGTTGTCAATAAGTATGTTACCAATAGTGTCCAATATGTCTCCATGAATATTTAAATGAGATCTAATTGAACTATGGTAGGAAGGATGTAGAGTGCGTCTGCGTGTCAAACATGTTATAGTGTGGCCTATAGAATTATTTACGGATTTTGAGGCGAATTAAGAACATTATTAAAAAATGCATAACTCCAGTTGACAATAGCAAAAAAATTAGATTAATTATTTATTACAAAATATTTTAAACCTCTAACCTTATATTTAAAAATAATTATTTACTTCCTAGAACAAAATTAAATAGAGCAAATATTATTTACGAATTTAAATGCCCATTAAGAAATTGTATTCCTGATCAATCAAAATTCGTAAATAATTATACACTGCAACATGTTTGACACGCAGAATCACTCTACACCTGTCTGACCATAGCTCAATTATATCTCAGCATATATATATATATATAAATATATATATATATATATATATATATATATATATATATATATATATATATATATATATATATATTGGGGGAAAATGTAAATTTGAAAAACAATTCGCTAAGCCGAAAATATCTAGAAATTGCCATGATATTAATGCTATCTACATTAATTTTGCACCATGAGCCTTACATCATTTTCACCATTCCTGGCAGATCTTATATTATCATAGTGTAGGATATCTGCTAACAAAAATGGTGGAAAGAAAAAGACTCCAAATAAAATCAGCCAGATAAAAAAACAATAAGCATCCCTTGTTCGTTCGCTTTTGTAGTTGTATCAACAAAAAAATTAAAAATAAAAGTACGATGAAGTCGTGAATGACGAAACGCCTCACAAGACAACATTTTCGTACGTTTTCCCCAATATTGTTCTTGATATATAAAAATACATATCATTATGTCACATACATAAACACACATACATACAGGTGTATGCATTTTACTTCGTACAAACACACCCATATAAATAATCTGAAGTTAGGCACAGAGACACATCCATGTGTTCTAGTATACATATATACGCAATGACATTCTATTTATCTGTCGAGACTGCAGCTTTACATATGTAGCAATGTTCTCTCAACAAGGAGCAGGACGGGTTGGTCTTGACGTTTATCTGATCGGCCGTCTGCACTGTCAGATAAGCTCACATTGCCACACACATACATACCTATATGTAGACGCGTACCCACACTCATTGCTCTGGATATACCACCAGCACGTTGGTTAAGTTGGGTTCTGTCTGTGCACATGATGATGATGATGATTGTATTTTTAGCGATGCTAACAGTTGGTATGTTATTGACGATTGTGATTATGTTAATAGTAATAATATCTGTGATATTATTATTGGCATATTAATGATAATTATTTATATGTTATTAGTTATGATAAGCGGTATAGTTAGCCTAAATGATGATGTAAACGATAATATAATAATGACAATTAGAAAACGACAATAATGACAATGGTAATTATGATAATAGTTGCGTTAATCATGATAATGATGATGATTGTAATAATAATAATAACAATAAAAATAAAAATAATGACAATGATAAAAAGCAGTACTAATAGTGGTGGCCATACTTATATAGTAATTCTTCTTAAAGTGATAATAACAGTAGTATTAACAAACACAAATAAGCATAAATAGATCCACTTTTAAAAATATAAATCAATTTGTCTGATGATCGCAAAAGCGTGAAACCCAGGTAAACAAACTAATATCCATACAACTGAGTATGTTAGCTCTATCACAGATATTGAGCACTACCGCATACGAATCCCTGACTGGCGCCAATTTAGTCACGTTTCGATCCTAGCTAGAGGCAACAGGATGTCGAGCCACATTGATGAGCTGTGATACAACGAAACAGTCTGCCTGTGGATGACAATATATATATATATATATATATATATATATATATATATATATATATATATATATATATATATATATATATCTGTGTGTCTGTGTGTGTATATTGGGCAAGGAATTATGATGACTAATATTCGAAGCTACCCGAATACTGAAAAAAGAGTCCCATATGAGAAACTTGACTTGGCAGGTGTAATGCGACGCGCCTTTTCTGCCTCCAGTCACACTGGCTTTATCCATAGGTATGCACAACCGAAGGTATATATTGTTTGCGCTGAGATTATGAATATATGAATATCAATTTAGATCTATTTGCAATATGAATATCAATTTAGGTCTATTTGCCCATGAATATTTTTGCCAATTACGTTATCCTAATTTACATAGCTACATCAATATATCCAAAGCTTAATGAGGTAAAAAGCTGA